TTACCTGGCTCCACCGCTTCTCCAACTCCACCACTTCTCTTCACTATGGAAGGGGGTATCAGGTCCGGGACTTGGCCTGATTTGTCTATGGGCGCCAGCAACAGTGGGTACAGCTGCGAAGGGAAGGGAAAAGGTGGACGGGGTGGGAGCTGATGGTGATCGGGCTAGTTGTGGGTGGCGTGAGACTCTGGCTCAGGTCGTTTAGGGCCTTACTCCGACGAGGAGAAAAGAACACACTGGACACACAGACACCTAGCACCACTTCCTTTATTGGTTTGTAATCTGGGCGTCACTAAGATACAACTCAGATTGTTACTTTACTACACTCGGTACGGGAGAGCTCGGATTCTACCAAATGAACGGGTTGTCGTTACTTGGTTACACACTCCTGTAAGCCTTGTCACTTTGCGCCGTTAGCACTAATGCGTAGCACTTGGGGACTTGTACAGGTTACCGCTACCACTGCGTGTGTGGGGTCTGAGATGGTCACCAGTTCGCACTCGCGTTTCTTTTTCAATATATATATATATATTTTTTTTATTTAACTTTCGAACACGATTTTCACTTAACAGTCGATCGAAAGGGCTAGCTCCGCGTCCGGCGAGTTTAACTGTTGTTACGAGACTTTCGAAAAAGAATTCCCCCTCTGTTTTTGCAGATTCAGAGGTCCTGCGAAAATTTGAGGAACGCCTCGTTGCCATCCTCCAAATCTCCGGGTTGGCTGGATTTAGACAATAGGGGGGAGGGTTCGATAGAGTTTCTCATTCCTCCAATGGTCAGCTGTTTCGCGGCGAAAGTTGGGTTCACGCTCTTTCACAGTCTTTCTGACCCGGGGTGGATCAAGGGGGTTCAATCTCACGGTCTTTTAAGGGTAGGTCCATGACGAATTTGAGGCCTAAATTGTCACATTCATTACGCTGCACCGAAAAATGTTATTGTATGATATTTAGAACCTGAATGAAGGGGAATTCGCTAAAGAGTATTCCGAAGGTCTCCACTANTAAGCCTTGTCACTTTGCGCCGTTAGCACTAATGCGTAGCACTTGGGGACTTGTACAGGTTACCGCTACCACTGCGTGTGTGGGGTCTGAGATGGTCACCAGTTCGCACTCGCGTTTCTTTTTCAATATATATATATATATTTTTTTTATTTAACTTTCGAACACGATTTTCACTTAACAGTCGATCGAAAGGGCTAGCTCCGCGTCCGGCGAGTTTAACTGTTGTTACGAGACTTTCGAAAAAGAATTCCCCCTCTGTTTTTGCAGATTCAGAGGTCCTGCGAAAATTTGAGGAACGCCTCGTTGCCATCCTCCAAATCTCCGGGTTGGCTGGATTTAGACAATAGGGGGGAGGGTTCGATAGAGTTTCTCATTCCTCCAATGGTCAGCTGTTTCGCGGCGAAAGTTGGGTTCACGCTCTTTCACAGTCTTTCTGACCCGGGGTGGATCAAGGGGGTTCAATCTCACGGTCTTTTAAGGGTAGGTCCATGACGAATTTGAGGCCTAAATTGTCACATTCATTACGCTGCACCGAAAAATGTTATTGTATGATATTTAGAACCTGAATGAAGGGGAATTCGCTAAAGAGTATTCCGAAGGTCTCCACTACAAGATAGCGGGTAATATTCGGATTCCCAAAACATTTGACTGCCGTGACCAATCGGGTGTTGAAAATTGGTCCCTTTCCTCGACTATTGAAACAGTTCGCCGCTTCTTTCTAAAAGCGGGGTTTAACATCTGGAGAGTTATGACCGGTCAGAGGGTCATCTCTCTGCGTGACAAAGGGGTCTCTCCAGCGTCTTTTGGACAGATTTCTCTTTTATTAGAGCATAGGGCTCTTTGTAGAAGTAGGGAGAGTGTCGGGCTGGTCTGGTTTCAGTCCGGGGATTGTGACCCGTCATAAATTTTACCTTCTCGGATCTGCGTAAGGAAACACTCAAGCTGTTAGTTCTTTAGAATTTCTCTCTCGTCCCAAAACACCCGCTCGGGTAGGAGGGAGGCATGACTTCCCTTAGTGCCAATTGGATTCAGGTGCCTCTGGTTTGAGTGCGGTGTTAGGTATTACCTCCGCTTTGATGTATTGACAAGTACCGATACACGTAAACAAAACGTTGTGGTCCTTTGCATTGTACGGTTACACAGAGCTCAGAAATTTATAAAATTCGATCAAATTTCCTTCACTGTATTTGTCTTTAATATGATAATTTTCCTGAAGTTCAATAATTTCCATTTGAATTTGACTTGGGACATCTGCAGCATTACAGTCAAACGGATTTTGAATCAATCAAATTTCCTGTGCACTGGAATCCAAATCAGCAAATCGCTTCCGAAATTGTTCTTTCAAACCTGAAATTACTAAATTTGCAAACGAGGAAGGAAATTCTGCTTCACCCTTTTTATGCAACTCTGCACAGTATAGCATATGAACAAAGTTACAATTTTTCACTTGGCTNTGAATGCCTTGATAAGTGCAAATAAATCACAGACTAAGTTATTTTCACCCTGCAACTTGAAATTCAAATGGTTCACCAGATCAGCAAAAAATGCTAATTTCCAAAGCCACTCGGTATCTGCTAAAAGTGGTTCGTGATGTTTTTCTCGGTAAGAAATATATCAATTTCATTCATGAGCTGAAAGAAGCGCGAAAGAACCTTTCCACAGCTAAGCCATCGAACTGCAGTATAATATGTCAGGTCAATAAGCTCGATATCACATTTACCAGTACTCACTGGAAAATTAGTTCAATTGGCGCATTTCTGCACAACTCTTTCGCGGGCCGTAGTTTGGAGACCCTTGTTCTAAACCATACGCCAGTGCCTCACCAAAGGACCGCCATGGTTATGACAACGATATTACTTAGTCTTCCACATATCCTACCGCTTCGTTTCTACCTTTACAAAATTCCTTTTTACTACTTGCTTCGTTTCAAAGTCATTTTACGACTGATGGTTGGCCAGTCACATTCTCTTAATTTAGAGCCCATTCAGACTCTCATGACCAGATCTTAGTCCTATTTCCCCAAACCTCCGTTAAATATCTCGTTATTTTGATATCGCACATATTTCCCNCTCCTCACTTGTCAGTCAATTAATTCCTATATTTCGTCCATCCTCCTCTAAACTACATGTCACGGCCTCTACAACTATATGCATATACTGAACATGGCCTTGTTGGCAATATATATAAGCCCCCTGTCAATTCACAACAGATTTTGCCTTATTTTCATTAGCTCACGCTAGACCGGCAATTTAGTCACCTCAACAATCATACACACCGCTGCAAAATTTAAGCCGTGTGTTTTGTTGGGCTTCGCCTTATTCAGTATTCCGAACACTTTCATTTTCACGATCTTCTGTGGCTTCTGGTTGCTGGCAGCTCTACGCATTGGGATATTGCTGTTGTTGCGTAGAACCTTGATTTCTAAGTGCTGCACTTTCGAAACGTGGGTATTTGCCGCAAATCCCAAGGCATGCATAGGACACTGCAGACATAAATACTGCTCTGTGGACGGTACATTTCATCTTAGAGCTTAATCGCTCACTTTTTAATGAAGGACATGCTCTAATAAATGTTTGAAGGCATTGACTTAGGTCATTTATATATCTAATCCTCTTACCGAAAAAAATACATAAGTTGTACATGACTCACGAAGGGGGTTCTTCTCAGTTCAATACGAGATGACACTCAACCGATCTATAAACTCTCTTGACATAAAATTTCATTTCTTTTGTTCCAGCGCTCACACTGCGTCTCAATCGCATCCATACCTCGTTGCAGCGTTCTAAGAACATACCCTTCTATGCTCAGTTGCATACACAGATGCCAGCAGCAAACACACCTAGATATACACTAGTATTTTTGAGAGGGGAGAGGAGGTTCATTTACACATACGCTGTACAATGTCTGGCACACCTTTTCTCTTGGCAGAAACATTTTGCCTTCGACCAAAACTTTGAATTTTCTCACGGCAAACATGTGCTAACAGGCTTCATTATACTAACAGAAATTTTAATTTGAACTTACACGCACTGTTGTATGGCCCTGGCCGCAGAGAAATCTCCACTGTGTCTTATAGCCGCTCACCTGTACATTTACGGCTACAGTGTAGCAAAAGACACTAATTTTCAGTATGTTGACACATGACTGGAAAGCATAGCAGATGGCTTAGAGCAGGAGCAGAACATGTCTGAATGCTTAGGGATTGGGCTTCTTACACGCTACAGGCTGAACACATGCACAAATTTGTGCAACATAGCAGCATTTGGACATTACAGAAAATGCCAGTATACTGAAACATAACATATGAAGTGTTTCAGTATTAGTTAGCAAACATGATACCAATAAATACTGTATTTAATTACTTTGAGAAGACATCTGTTGAAAATGAAATTAGGAGAAAGAAAGGCATGTCACTGAAGTCTGTCATGCACAGTTAACTCTCAAGCATCAACGTGAAATTTTTGGTTACCTGGGCATGTGGTGCGCTGGGAATTTTCCAGCCCTTGCTCAAAGGTCGGTTAGTAATGTCACTGAACTTACAGACAGGAGTGGTCAGTGTAAAGCCATGCCACTATGGTCCAGACACTCATTTTTTTTTCTTTTCAAGATAAAACTGTAGATTGCTGTTTGTTCTTTTTTCCTCTGCTATATAAATTTCTGTAATTTTGACGTTTCAAAATTCAGAAGTGGACATCACAGCACAGAAAATTGTTACCCTAAATAGGGGGCATGCGGTAGTGTAGTTGGTTGAGGCATGATGCTACGAGTCAGAAGGTAGCAGGTTCAAGTCCCGATGAGGTCATTGGATTTTTTCCGTTGACCTTCTAGCCGCACTATGGCCCTGGGGTCGACTCAGCCTCTAGCAGAAATGAGTAACAGGAATCTTCCTGGGGTTAAAGGGTGGCCAGCGCGTAAGGCTGACAACCTTGCCTCCATCTATGAGCTGATTGTCTAGAAAATGTGGGAACCTCAACATCTCACAACCCTATGGGCCTCCACACCCCGTTTCAGGGATACCTTTATTTTTTTTTTTTTACCCTAAGTAGATTATTTCATTCTGACAGAATATAAAGGTAACTGAGATTTGAAGCTTGGCTTTTACCAAGACTACCTTTCTGCCACACACACTTAACACTGGGATCACTGTGCTTGGCACTATTCAAATAGGGTATGCTTATTTGTAAAACTTTTCTTACAGTACTTTGGTTTGGAGCAGCTTGTTGCCCCCATTCTGAGTTACTTGTACTGGATACAAGGAAACTGCATTAAGCTATTTGTATAGAGTAAAGTGACTTAAGGTGGGGGTAATATTTGGGGGTACTTTACTGATTTTATTTTGTCTGTTCACATGCTTGGGAGAACACAAGGATGCTAATGGACAGCTTCGCCCTGGAGAGGACATGTGTGGGCCCAGCACGGAATTTAATTTCTCAGGAGATAGTGCGCAAAACACTCTTCAACTTTTTCCAGTGCTGCTCATCAGTTATTACTCTCCATCCATTTTACTTCTTCGCTTCGCTACTCATCAAATGCTTCACTTGTCTTCATGCTTACATTTGAACAAGTTGTTACTGAAGCTACACAGTTATATAAATTGAACTTTACAACAACATTCACTTTTCATTTTAAAGTTATGAAACACATAAAGAATGTAGGAAATTCTGAAAGTTGTGTGTTGAGGAATGTAAAGAAATGATGTTTTGAAGGTTGTGCATAGAAGGGAAAAGGAGAAGCAGCTGCAATGGACACTGGAAAATGTTGAGATTTCCTGTGCATACTATCTCGTAGAAAATAAAATTTCCAGGCACCCCAGACATATCCTCTCCAGTGCGAAAACTCTCATACCTCTCATCATCCTCCCTGCAAAGCAAAAATAAAAAACCTTCATTAATTTTTATTATCCTCCATGAAATAAAGCACATGACAAGAAATACCAAGAACAATTATTCATCTCACATGTTCTCCATGATAGTCAGCATTTATTGCAACTGCTTGTTGCATGTTCAAAGTTCTAAACCTACACATGTGCTGAGAATGTAAAAATAACCAATACAAAATTGCATCTGGTATATAGTAAATGGTGAACAACTGAGTTAGGTAAAAAAAAAAGTAATGCCCATTTATTGATGTTAAATCTCATACAGCTGAATATAAAGCATATTATTATATTTAGAGCCTTATAAATTTACCTAGTCACCTGCAACATACCATACAACACAATAAAGGTCAGTGGCAGTGGTTGTGTTTGAACCCACGACCTCTGAATTACCAGGCCAGTACACTAACCACTAATCCACTGTGGTGACTCAGCAGATGATGTTCTAGCTCTACTTATGTTGCACGTTTAGTTTCTTTCTACCTCACAGTAGGGCCCCATGTGGAGCTCACATCTGCACTTGGTTGGCTGAGACTGTTTCTGTCAGCTTGTGATCCCCAGAATGGGCCAGCACTCAACCAGGCACAGATGTGAGCTCCTCATGGGGCCCTACTGTCAGACTGGAAGTCACTAACATTTCCTGGGCCATCCAAGTGGTTCTACTGGGGTCCATTGCACCCTCTGTAATATCAAGTATACAATGGACAGGTTAATTTCCATGTAGCAACAATCTGCTCTCATTTCTGCACACGCGGAAGCACCTGACCATAACTTCTTGGCTCTGTTTATCAGGCTCCCAGAGCAAGATCAACTCTTCCCCAATTAATGAAACTTGGCCAGTCACTCTGAGCAGTAACCCCTGTCTGGTGTTCTCTAATTTCATGCTCTGCCCCAACCCTAACATCACCCTACAGTACACAGTTTGTGGAAAGAGGATGGGCATGTGAAGGTGAATTTTCTGACAAACAAGCACATCTACTGACTAAGATTCTGAAGCAACGCAACCTGATCGTACCCTTGCCTAATGTCTGAGCATGGGGCCCAGCTGTATCTGACGTGGCACATACCTTCAGTACAGGGGTGGCTCATGGGTGGTGCACAGCTGAAGAGGAAGTCACTGCATGATCCTCACTCACTCAGCAACACTACCTCCTTCATCCCTAAGAACAGCTCTGCTTCCTTGACACCATTCCTGGATCGCCAACATAGAGGAACAGTGACACATATACAGATTCTAAATCTCAATACATTGTGCATCTGCCAATTCACGATCACCCTCTGACCCATAATGTAGCAGCACAAGAGACACTCACCTACAGCACACACGTGCAGTAACAGAGGGGTAGAGAAACTTGTTGGTCACTCTTGGTCTGAAGGGCTCCTTGTGGATGCAGTGCAGTGGGGAAGAATGTTCTGGGTCCAGGCACACAGCACTGTTAAAATGGTATTCATTACTGACAATCCATGCTCACTGCTGTAATATGTGGCAGCAGATTCCTTCAAAAAAGTAATCAGTAACATTGCAACAGAGGGTTACACTTAAACCATTGCTTCCTCAGGCCTACACAGTATGACATTCTTTGCTGGTTGGGACAGCCATCTCTTCACTGTTGCCTCTCCAGACCTGTCAACAAATGGTAATATTTACATACAATCATATGTATCAGTTATTTCTTGATGGTAGACTAACCTAAACTAAACTAAAAACAAGTATGTAAGATCTGAGGTTATCACAGCAGTGGTTATGTAGAGTCCTATCATCTGGGATGCAACTCCTCCATCATGTGAGTGCTGACCTGTCTTCTCTGTGGGACCTCCACCCTGATGTTGCGGCTTCCTTCCACTACCTCTGCTCCCTCCACTCCCACCCCATGCACGCAACTTAACGCATTTGACCTCTCTCTCACATTATGTTTTTCCCCAGACCAGCAAAATCGACCATTTTCAAGGCCTCAGTGGTCATGTGACAGCCCAGCTGTTTCATTCTGTTTTCCTCAGCGAACCAACAGGAACCGAGGTCCACCCTTCCACTTCCTTCCTGTCTCATCTATAATCCAAAATTTCCAGTCAGTTGATTACTGAGCCTGCTTTCACACTGGTATCTCACTTGGCTTATTAAACCCTGAAGATGGAGGCAGTATGTTCCTCCAAAACGTTGATAGACTTCCAATGGACTACATGGTGTTATATTTCAGAACATAGTCCTCTTCTTTAAAAATACGTAATTAAAGAGCTCCTTTTCATAAAATACTATAAAAATGGGGGGGGCAAGGCCAAAGCAAGAGGTGGGTTATAAATACTTAATAACGCATAAAAATTATCTCCAAAAAACAGAGACAGTACAGAACCGTATTACACAAAGAACTGAGTGAAGTAAATGAATTTTCAAATGTAAATGAAGAATGGGAATCCATTCGGTCAAAAATCGTTGCAACAGCTGAAGAAGTGGTAGGAACACAAGTCCAGGTACCTAGAAACGATGGTGGGGCAATGATTGTAGGAGAGCAATAGAAAATAAAAATAAAGCAAGACAAAGACTCCTACAGTGCAGAACGAGAGTTACTTGTGAGAAGTGTCAAGCTAAAAGAAACAAAGTAAAGAGGGTCTAGAAATAAAAAGAGGAAACGTTTAAATGACAGAATTCTACAAATTGAGGAAAATCATAGTAAGAATGAAACTAGAAGTTTTTTAATGACATCAGATTTATGAAAACACACAGTAGTGCATTGCCAAGGATGTGTAGAGATGCTGATGGGAATTTAATAGTGCATCAACTGAAGGTATTAGAAAGATGGAAGGAATATTTTATTGAAATGTTCACTTTGGCAGAAACAGACCAAATCCTTGATATTACGGATGACTCAGCGGGTGATAATGACTTCTATACTGCACCTCCAACATACGACAAGGTATGTACAATAATCACCAGACTCAGAATCAATAAAGCTGCTGGACCAGACAACATTACCCCAGAGTTAATTAAATTTGGTGGATGAACACTGAAACAAAGGACACATAAGCTGATACTGAAGATATGGCAGGATGAAGAGATCCCTGCACTAGGGGGGGAAGGAATCATAGCACCGATACATAAAAAAGGTGGTAATTTGCCATGTCATAATAACAGACCAATAACATTATTAAATATCTCATATAAAATTTTTGCAACTCTACTAAATAATAGACTGGTAGCTACTATAGAAAGTAAATTGGATGATTGTTAAATGGGATTCAGGCCAAACAGATCAACAATAGATAACATGTTATATTTTAGCGTCCTGTTGCACTGATTCACGTTCATGATGTGTATTTGTACCAACCGTCTTACAGTGCACACAATTTCACCTTTCTCTTCACTACATGTTTCGGCACTAACGTGCCATCTTCAGGTGTGGTTTTATTTATGTCAAACCATTGCACTGTATGCCATCACATAACGCATGCAGTCACAAGGGAAGGACACAACACAGGACACAATATACACAAGAATATAGGAAGAGTACTCCCATATGAAAGGATTGACATAACTCGCGAATTTGAAGTGCGACATATAGATGATAAATCTTGAAAAATTTTAATATATAAATTTTATTATTATACACGACAAATTTACATTTTAATCATTTTATAAAGGAGCCATGATGGCATACAGTGCAATGGTTTGATGTAAATAAAACCACACCTGAAGATGGCACATTAGTGCCGAAACATGTAGTGAAGAGAAAGGTGAAATTGTGTGCACTGTAAGACGGTTGGTACAAATACACATCATGAAATAAATTACATATTTATAATTAAACAGATCTATGAAAAATGCTGTGAGTTTAATATTGATATTTACAACATATCTGTAGACTATACACAAGCATTTGATTCTATTAATTTCGGCTATTCCGGTACTGTCTGTTACAGACCCGGAAGAAATTTTAACTTTCTTGATCCGGGCAAAAGGGGTTTTTGACCTAAAATTGGTTTCAGATTCTGAGTTCATGGCGCTTCTGGTTAGCAGAACGTCGGGAAGGATTACGCAAATCCTGGGAGCACACGTAGGGACGACCCAATGCTGGGGACTGGTTCAAACGGAAATAATTTCCACGTTTCTTCCTTGTCGTGTGAAGGAACGGTTTCTAGCGTCGCATGTCCTGGAGAGGTTCCAATCTCCAGGGGAAGATCTGAATAGTTACGTCATGTCAGTGGTGGCAGCGGCGGATATCCTAGGATTTTCTGGCTCGGAAGCTCAGTTAGTGCAGCGTATGCTGCAGAATTTACATCCCAAGGTAAAATCGTATTTGTTATTTGCAACTCGGCCCGAGTCTATTAAAGATTTGTTTTCGCTCGCTACTACTGTAGCGGAAGCAGTGGCGGTCGAGAACCAGCGTAAGCGGACGGCTGCCTCCGCTCAACAGGGGTGTGTCTCCCGGCCGGTTGCAAGTGGTATGGTAATAGGCCAGACAACTGCTGCCACGGCCGATTCTAGACGCAGATGCTGGGGATGTGGAGCTCCTGGGCATAATTTGCGTGACTGTCCATCTAGGCCTCACCAGAGGCGGGCTCCCGGAAGTTCGGGAAACGATCTCGGCGCGCGGGAGTAAGTGGTGGGTCCCGAGTGCCGAATCTAAGTCCACCTCGCAGAGTTTTCTTTCCTAGGGATTCGCGGCCCTCTCCCTTCGTGACTGTACGTATTGGGGACTTTTGTTTACCAGCGATGTTAGATTCCGGCTCCTCTCGATCCTTTATAAGACGCGATGTCTTGGATACTATTAAAGGATCGAACCTGCCTTATACCGTCGAGACAACGGAGGAACGATGTCTGCTGGCGAACGGGGAATCGTGTGTTCTCTCGCTGGTCTGCGTGTTGGGAATTAAGATACATTCCTTTTCTTGGAAGTTTGGGTTTTTAGTCTTAGATGACTGCCCCGTTCCGTGTATTTTGGGTGTTGATTTCTTGACGTTCGCACAAGTGCGAATAGATTTTTCCACCCGTAAATATTATTTTCTCTTCCAGCCTGAGAGCGAGTTCGACTTCGAGTCCATGGATTTGGGCAAGTGTAAGTCGCAGGAATTCCCGTGTTCCTATGACGCATTGCAGAAACTCCTGTGCGGGTCGATACCCGGTGGGTC